TTGCTGACCAGTTCAGTGCTATCCAGTGCTTGTCTTAAATCATGTCTGGGTGCTTTTTGACATGTGCTTTGGGTCATTGTCCTGCTGTAAGATCCATGACCTATGACGGAGACCAAACTTTCTAACAATGGGCCCTAAATTGCACCCCAGAATTACTTGGTAGTCTTCATATTTTATAATGCCATGCACATGGTCAAGACATCCAGTGCCTGAAGCAGCAAAGCAACCCCAAAACATCAATGAACCTCCACCATGTTTGACTGTAGGGACTGTATTCTTTTCTTTAAAGACCTTATTCTTTTTCTGAAAACAGTAGAATGATGGGCTTTACCAAAAAGCTGTAATTTTGTTTTGTCTGTCCACAGCACATTCTCCCAGCTGACACAATTGTACCCTGTGCCTGAAGGTCGGCTTAAAGTTGTCTGTAAGTTGACCGAGGTTCTTTATCCACCATTCTAACAATCCTTCATTGCAATCTTTGATCATTTTTTCTCTTTCATCCATGCCCAGGGAGATTAGCTACAGTGCCATGGGCTGTAAACTTCTTGATAATATTGCACACAGTGGACAGAGGAACATTAAGATCTCTGGAGATGGACTCGTAACCTTGAGATTGTCCATGCTTTTCCACAATTTTTGTTCTCAAATCCTCAGACAATTCTTTGTTGATCTTTCTCTTCTCCATGCTCCGTGTGGCACACAGAGACACAAAACAGAAAGGTTGAGTAAATTTTTCACCATTTTAACTGGTTGTCAGTGTGATTGCTATATTTTCATCACTTGTTAATTGATACAGGTGAGTTTAATTACAAATTACAGGAGCATCACAAACTTGGAATGCAATTAGTTCTTACAATTTTGAGAAGATGCCAATAATTTTGTCCAGTCCATTTGGGGGGTTTTGTGTAGAATGTGTTACATTTGGCTTTTTGTTTCTCCAGTTTTTTGTGTACTGTACAAACAAAAGAAATAAACAAGGGAATGCCTAAACATTTGTAATTGCAACAATTTTCTAGGCAAAGTGGTGCATTATCTGACAGAAATGCATGGGTGCCAATATTTTTGGCCATGACTGTAAGCACTGCCTTCACCCAAGATGGCTGAGGAGGTCAATCAAGGCAGCAGGGTCAAATTAGACAGCTGCCCCAGATGATGTCAGGAAGTGAAAGAGAAAACAAACTCCTCACACCCCCCTTTCCCTTCTGCATTGCTGCTAAAGCCTAGCACCATCTACAGAGAGGAGTACAGACTGCATCTGCCTACACAGGTTTTCTTAAAATGCATGTAAACCCTAACAATAAGTTTTTGTTATATAGTCCCTTTTGGTAGCATGTTCTTTTTTAAAACAAAATTCCTTTTAGCTACAGAAAGTTCTTGTTATTTTAAAATCCTACTTGAGTTTATTGTTTCGGGATACTGCAGGTCTACTCAAATTGGTCAGTTCTCTTGCATTAAATGGGCAATGCATGTTTTTGTTCTGGATACATTCAGTTCTATGTAGAAAGAAATAACTTTGGGCATAGATAAGTAAGACTAAAGCTAAAAGTTAGCAATTATTTTAAATCAACTCACTGCTTTTGTTTAAAACAAATATGACAAGGGCTAAATAGATGACATTTTCCAAAATGCCAAGATTCATTTCAGCCCTCAGGCTCTGAGCATGAAGGTGTGAGTCATAATATTTGGCTATAAGTAAGCAGCAGTGGATGAAGGATATTGTGGAGAAAAGTGACAATTTTTAGAAAATCACCTAAATTTGGCAATCATGAAAACTGTAATTTAAGAATTATTATCCTATTACAGAATACGGTGGATAGGTTGAGAAAATATATTTATTTTTTTTAGATAGCTTTTTAGTAGAAAGCATTACAGTATGTAGCACTCAGCAGCCTCTGTGCACTGTGTACTGGATCCTGCAGAACAGCCCAAAGGCATGCAAAGTCTTGGAACTGTCCCACAGGATCTGGGGCTATCGGCAACTATTTAGCTAGGACTAGCTGCAAAACAAGGTCCCATAGGTCATATGCAGACTGCACACTGCCAGTTGAATAGTCTTAAGCAAAACAAGCGGTCTGTCACAATACTGGAGAGCTAAACTTCAACCATCTAATCCCACCCTATTACGGTTTCAGCTATCCCCACCGAAAACTGATGAATAGACCAAAAATACCAGTGACTGCTACTTATTAATTACCATTAATGCCATGTCTAATGGTTTAACTGCCTGTGATCTATATTACAAATATTAGACTGAAGGCCCCATTTATGAAGTGGTTGTATAGTCCTACTGGGCCATATTGCTGGTTTTAGGTACCAAGAGCATGAGGTCACATGACTTGCCTCAATCATGGAGTTCTCTCTTCAATTGAGCAGAGAGAATTTCAAGGAACAGGGTAGGCTTCACACCATGTCCTGCATTTATGAATGAGATGTAAACTGCATGTTGCAGTGTGGACTAACACTTTAGTATCCAACAGATAGTGGTATGTACTCATTGCTATAAATAGTGACCTAAATGAGGGTGGTGATATACTGTACCCTGCTGTCAATCTAACAAGCTTTCAGACATTTGGAGGACAGGAAGGCATTAGAACAGATAGTAGAAGAATCCAGAAGTAGTAGAATACGGGAGACCTCAGTTATGTAATGTTTCATAGTCCAATGAGCAGGCAGATGACACTGGAAGCACAAGACTGGCTGAACAGAGTTATATATTTTTTGGAAGTTACACCACACAGTTTACATATAAGTAGTTCAGTTTTAGCTGTTGAGCTGAATTTCAGATTTTCAATTTGTGTCATAAAAAATGCTTGGTTATTTTACCACTATACCTACTAAGTAAATGCAGGGACTTTTTCAGCTGGAACTTGGTGGAACTCAGTTCTACCACCTTTGGCTTAGGCCTTCTGCTCCCTGCTTACCACTATCACTTGAAAACACAGAAGTCCAGCTTTTCTCCGAACAGTTCCACAGATCTGACCTCCTGAGTGGCTCCCACTGAGTACAGTATGGGACACGGTAGATTCAGGAGCCCGGGGTGCAGTGAAGATGCCGACACCCCCACTGGATGATCTCCCTGCAAGTGAGAGGGGTGGAGCCACTTACAGTGTGAAGAGAGCTGGGTGCTTCAGTTCAATACCACAGTGGAAGCAAGACATGTGGAGGATGATAGAGCATTTATCAGCGCGGGGGGGGGGTGCATTGGAGGGGGGGGGAAGTAGAGGCCAGAGCTGAAAAGGAGTGAAAGTGAGATGTGGATGGGGGATGCAGAAGTAAGCAGCTGAATTCTGCCCTCTGTGTGTAGCACACCCCTGAACTCAGCACTCTGTATGCTGGGGACCCCTCAACATTGCACTATTTACATAGCGCACCCCTGAACTCTGCACTCTGTACATAATGCACTCCTGATATGTAATACTCCTTTAAAAATCCTCCCACTGTAGTGTAATTTGACCACACTCAATAGCTGAAGTGGTTTGGGGGGCTTGTGTGTGGGGTGGAGGGGGGTTTTGGCGGGTCATAATTGAGTTTCTGCACTTATTTTCTGAGAAACAAAAGCTCTGAGTAAATGTATTGGATTTTTCCAACAACTACAATGCAAAAACAAATTAGGAAAACATTATGGCAAGTAAAAAAAAAAAATATGTCAGTGTGATTGCTTTAACAAGCCTGTTATACATTATACACAATGGATTTTTCATCAATGAGATCATAGAAAGAATGTGACCTTCTTATGGAGATAGCGGTACACACCATTTCAGTATTTAGAGCAAGCTAATTAAATGAGCAATTTCTTTGGTGCTTCAAAATGTGAAACAGTTGCCTAATTACAATCAGGATAATTAAAATGTGGAATACATTAAATAAGTCTTAATACAAGAAACTATAACTAAGACACATTTGTTTTAATAAAATAACAAACACATTTTTTAATTCTAGAGATTTGATTTGAAAGTTAAAATGACAGTTTACATATTTTGTTAATAATTACTTACATTAATGTTTACAAGACACATATTATAGAGTACATTATGCTGCACTGAATAGTCATTATCAGTATATACAGTTTTATATAATTATTTCAGTGAAAGCTCTCAGCCATACACACAGTTAAAATACATGTATGGTGGCTGTTTTACCTGCCATACAGCAAAGACAGGTTCATGACCTGACACTTCTATACTGAAGTTTAAGCAATACAGCCTGGTCACCTCCCTGCCCCCAACCTGTGATTGAACATTGAGGGAGCAGCAGCACATTGAGCTGCTCACCCACCTACATGCTATGTATGCACTGCATGCCAGCATGCTTCTTGTTAGCACATATACATGCTGAATACCTGATTGGCCCCTAGTGTTGCCTCTCACTTTCCTAATACTGCTGAGTGCTGTTGTGTTGACAAAACGGCTAAAAACAAGACACATTCAGCTACACATACAAAATGCATTTAATATCATTTAATGACTGAAAAACTACATTCACTGTTTTTTTATGCCTTACTGAAGTCTGGTTGAGGGGAACTCCATATACATGTATGTACAGTACATAGGGCAGTGGTGGTCGACTTTTTTGATATAGAAGCACTCAATTGCAGCCACCAACATCACCAAAAGTCCGAACCAGGGGCGGACTGACAACTCATGGGGCCCCCGGGCAATAGGGAATCATGGGGCCCCTGTGTCCTTGCCCAAACTCAAAAAAGCCTATGAAAAAGGTACCAGGGGTATCTCATGGGGCACCCTACTTACCCCAGGCCCTCAGGCAGTGCCCGAGTTTCCAAATGGTCAGTCCGCCCCTGGTCCTAACATAACATTCAATGAATGTTCATTATCAGAGACAGCAGACATAGAACAGGATATAGTCAAAGACTATGGATGTGATACAAGAGATGGTCAGGGACCATGGACATAATACAGGAGATGGTCAGAGCTTGCAGATATGATTCAGAGAATGTGGGCATGCTGCAGGAGAATGTCAGAGACTGTGAACATGCTATTGGAGATGTTAGAGACTGGGGACATGCTTCAGGAGATGTTTCACAGACTGAACACATATTACATGAGCAGGGGCGGACTGACAACTCATGGGGCCCCCGGGCAATAGGGGATCATGGAGCCCCTGTGTCCTTGTTCAAAAAACCTATGAAAAAGGTACCGGGGGTATCTCATGGGGCCCCTACTGACCCCGGGCCCTCGGACAGTGCCCCAGTTTCCAAATGGTCAGTCCGCCCCTGTAAATGAGGCTGCTTTAAATCACTGCTATAACAGGACAACAGGGAAACGTAATATGAAGTTTGCAGAGGCCCCAAGAGCCACACAAAAAGTGCCAAAGGGCCACATGTTGTGCCAGGGTGGGTACCTAGGACATAGGGGGTTGATGGGATTAGTAGTTTAAAACAGGACAATAACATTGTTTTTGCTGTCTGTTCTGCTCATGGGAAGTAAAAAGGACACTGCATTTCTGGCAAGATTAACTGGTATTTTCTGTTCTTGATAAAATTTTGAAAGAAAAACAAATGCAGCCATTACATTTAAGGACTGGTAGGCTAAACTATATTACTTATTTGATTTTGGGTTTGGATAGGCATTAAGATTGCAGTGTGCCAATTGCATTTTTGTATTCATAAAGAAGTGCCTGGAATGTATGAAAATATCATACCACTTCTATATTAGCTCTGTATGCCTGTGAACATATTGGAAAGAAATATATACTTGAATAAGGGGAATAAAATCTCAGACTTTTCTAGCTGGGATGACCTACTGGCATATTGGCAGAGAAATGCTAGCATCCTTGAGTTAAAAAAATTATAGTATATAAAATTGCTTTTAATTACAAGGTCAGACACCAAAAGAATAAAGTGATACCCTCATATTGGTTGTGGTAGGTGTACGGACCTAGTATTTCAAGTGCAGATCTTACCATCTGAGTATCCACATTAAAGAAACCGGCAGCTCTTTAGCGCCTAAACTGAAATATCAGTTTTGGGTGAACTGACCTTTTCAAAATACCATAGAGTTAGTCAAAGAGTTGTCTCAATCTGTTTTCAAGTTATTTTGCTTGAACATTTTACTGCTGTAGTTAGTTTGATTGATAGTTGATGGAGGACAAACAGAGATATCAGTGTCATGTATTTTTTCAGTTAGCTAACCTCTCCACATCAATATGTAAATACTGCGAACCAGAATCAAATAATGAACAAAAATACAAGGTCATAATCCTTATAAGATATACTGTTGTTAAAGAGCAAAAAAGGACAGAAAAATATTAAGGTTAGGTAGAATAGATACAATTATAAGTAGATGTCTTTGAATGTTTTTTTTTTTTTTTCAGTTGATCCCATACATTGCATACTGAAAGGTAATATATTAATTGAGCTACAGTCAATTTGTATTTTCTTGCAGAGGAGCAAAGTAATGGAGCAATACTAAATAATGAACATGACCACGACTGTGTTCTCAGATTTAACAAGCTAGAGATGTTCTATGTATGAATCTTGGGTGTGCTTCTGTTTGAGCACATGTGCTCTGGTTATTTCCTTTGTACTATAGCAAAGCCTGCCTTTTATTTAACCTCATTAGATGGAAGTGCGTGGCATGCTGTACCCTGTGTCTTGCTGCCAGAGTACTCCTGACCTTCCACAAAGCCTCCCACACAATGTAGCTGTTAATGCACAAGGAGATAAATGCTACAGTATATCAGCCAAGGAAACTGAAACGTCTTAAAAGCAAATCTTTTCATTTTTTATAATGAAAATGCTGCTCAATCATTATAGCCAAAAGAAATGGGAATGATGGCATATATAGACCTGACATGGATTTAAAGGATTTAAAGGAAAATTTTACCTATAGGGAACCTTGTTGGAGGAAAAATTGCTGCATTAGGGATAAATGTAATAAACTGTAGGTGGGCCGCACTCAGAGGAGTAGGAGATTTTTTTTTTTTAAAGGTACTTTAGTAAAGGTAGTTTTTATTGTCATGAGCAAGATATAACTAACCAGTGGCTTCCACTTATTGGCTAAGTGCAGAGCTGCATGCAGGTGTTTGAAATCTGCTTAGCATACTGCAAAGGAATTTCATAATTCCAGTGAAATTTGGCATCCTGATTGTCCACTTTGTTACTCTGGACTGACCTTAGATCTCCTTGTCTTTTTCACTTTCTGCTGTCTTCCTCAACTATGCCTGCCCTTTTCCGCATTCTTGAGCTTTTACTTTTTACTTACCTATGTCTTATGATTTGGTACTACATCTGATTTTTGATTTGATTGCCAGCTTTCATCAGTAGGAACACACGAGACTGCAGATGGCATTCCGAGCACGCACAACAGCTATAAATAAATTATATTAATAAATAAATTACCAAGACATTAAAATATTGGCAATAAAAATGGCCACATCACTTTATTGGTTTACTTCAAAATAGGAATAAGCTGTAAAATAAATTATTATTAATAGAATCACAATTCAAGTTAGCATTAAAAAGAACCCATCTATAGAAAAACTTTTCTTTTTGCTGGATTCTCCTCTATTGTATTGCATATGATAATGAAAGGTTTCTAAGCAGTAGTGGGAGGCCCACAGCTTCCCATTGAGAGGACCTGTTACCACTGTTTGTAGCAATCAGTCTTCTCAATGCCTATGGCTCCTCTGCTTGCTGTACTTGCCTCTGCAACAAGGAAGATCGGAAAGCAGTGCAGGTCTTGGAGGATCCAGTGTGGGTGAGCATGGACCACAGGTAAGTGTTTATGGATAGGGAAAAGACAGGTACTGGGTCATTTTTTAGATTACTGTAGAGAATGTATTAAAGTAAAAAAAAAGCCTAGCTTTTAGTACCACTTTAAACTATGATGAATTAAGAGTTTTATGACTCATGTTTGTGCTTTGTAATTCTTTTTACTTCAATAAAAAGCTGTCCTGGAATAATTGGTCATGTCTTTTACTGTTTGGAATTTCTAAATGTGCTTTAAAAATACATGTACCGGTACATAGAATTGGCATTAAGGGTAAAGTGGTGGTGAGGTGGGAGCAGAGCTATTTGTTCTGTAATCATAAGTGTTTCATTATTTATTCTGCTTTACATCATTGTGCCTATTCTGGATTGTAAGGCAGGATACCCCTGCTTACCATCACTCTTACATCAATGAAAGGTGTACAAGATGCCAGGGATGAGTCCTGGATAGGAGACGTATTTCCCCACTATTTGGGTTGTGGTCCCTTAAGGGAGAGCCTAAAGTAGAACTATAGGCAAGACATATTTTTTTTTCATTTTGGATAGAGCAAGGGAGGGTTATAACCCCTGTTCTATTTTTTTTTTTTCACTATCTGTGTTCCATTGTGCATATTTTCCTTCACTAATAACCCATAATCCCATAACCAAACAGGACGTGAGAGGAAATCCCTGCAAATTAAGGGAATTCCTTGGGGACTCCCACGTCACCAGAACTAGTGTCCCCATTGGAAGATTTCCCCTCTATTACTTTTCTGGGGACAACCCAAAATGTGGGATTTTCTTTTACTTTCAATGATAATGGTAAATAGGATAAATACATTTCCTTAATGGAGGCACAGATAGCAATAAAAACTGACAGGTGTTCTAATCAATCTGCACTCTATCCACATTTTTTTTTTGCCTTTTGTTATATTGTAAGAGATGATTTAAGTACTCAGGGGTTCTCACACATGCAGGGTCTTCTGTCTCTCTCAGTCCCCTGAGACCTCTAGATTATAGACTCTGGACTTGCCTAGTTGTCTCAGCTCTCAGTCCTCAAGACTCGCTAACCTGTCTCAACTCATCTTTTTGGCAATGAATCTCCTGTCTCCAGCATAGAGTACTGTTTCTTGAGTGGAGCACACCTGTCTCCTAAACAAAGCCCTGAACTATGATCAAGGCTGTCATTATAAGGGCTGTATACACTTGTGCATACACCCTGCAGGTCTTTTGCAAGACCTAATCACTGGGTTGGATATTTGTTCCCTTCCAAAGCTCCCTGAAGTCTCCAGACTTTGTGGAACCTAATTTGGAAATACCAAAACCTAGAAAACAACAACAGATTAGTTTTCTCCAATCTAAATTGATATTCTGGAGATGTGTGTATATATATATATATATATATATATATATATACTGTACACAGTATATAATGAATGTAGTTATGCTGTTACTTTAAAAGTCAACCAAGACAGATTTAAAAAAAACTGAAATGAAAATGAAATTAAAGTACACAAATATGTGAAAATACAATGTTGTCCAATAATTACTCCATTTTATTTAATTCCACATGATATCAAATAAAATATATATGTATATAAAAATATAAGAAAGACACTATAAAGTCCACATATCATGTGACCAAAAAACAATTGCACTACCTCTTTGAGCAATAGCAATATCTTTGTGATAGTAAAGATCACATGTATGAAAAGCACAGTAGAGAAAAACACTTGTTATCTGACGCATCCAAAAGCAAAGTCCATGTGTTGAATAAAAATCAAGTGCTAACAATCCACTGTGCAGACTGTAAACTTGAGTGGTTTGACGCCTCATTACTAGATAGTTTGATCTTCTAATGCTGAAGTCAAATGACGTTTATGTACAAAACCATGCAACAAGATCACCAGGCAGCCATAAGAATGGATGTCATCACTCCACAGGCCTCAGGTCATTGCAACAGCAGTTTAATCAAGTGCTCAGTCCCTTTCAGATGATGTTGCCGGCACCCCCACCAATCACAATAGTGATATGGCCCCAAATTAAAGGAAATTAGAGGAACTATAGTTCTATAACTTGTATAAAAAAAATTTATTCAATTAAAAATATACTCACAAAGACCATAATTGGAATAGCATGTAATCGTAAAAGCACTGCGCTTGACTGAGCGACCATCTAAGATGACAACACTAAGGTCCTGCCCAACTAGTTTCGTCACACCAGATGTCTTCTGGGGACTCTGATCGGTTGGTGACTCCAAAAGTCCATTTTATACCCAGACAATAAATGGGACTCCTCCCCTCAACAAGTCATCAAAAGTGGTGATACATCAACAAAATTTATAAAATATATCTTGAAAACTTATAGA